TCAAAATGAAACAGTGAAGCACGGGCTTTAGCCATATTTGCACGATTTCTATTGTATGATTTGGAATATATTACAATGTAGAAAGATGTGTATTTTTTAACTGCATGTAAGCTCATTTCACGTAGCTACTTTTTCTACCATCCTAAGGCACACAAAGCCTCAAAAGGTTGCAATTCATTATTCCCAGAATGTGTTTGATGTTTTCAGCATCCAAGCAGTTGTTTACTTAGTTTTTGGTTCCTAATTTTAAAAAATTCAATCAACATTAAGTATATACAAATTATAGCATTCGCTGTCTATAATTGTGCCCCTATTATTTGAATGGGTTTTCCCCTCTCATCATCATTTGCAAGCAAAGTACCAGTACACAGTTTCCCGCCTAAGGAGATTTCTATAGTTAAGGAGGCCAAAGTGAGAAGATTCGACGCTTTAAAATATATAGTAGGATGCAGAAGCCAGCTATAACAAGGGCGGTGTTTAAACAAACACCAGCGACGAGAGTTTTTAACAATATGGTAGGAGGCATTGTATCGTGCTTCTGTCATGTATTTTTTGTGGCTGACATTTTTGCCTGGATTGTTTGGAAAAGCGCCAGGGTCCATAAATATTGATCCTTTCGTTTATTTGTTTGACGTCGGTGTTTATGGCTAGTCATACAGGGCTGAAATTACAAAATGCATATCATACGTAATCGATTAAAAATAAAACGTGCATACAATTTTACACGTCTGAAAATATTGCATGGTTTAACAAATGAAACATGCATTCTGAAACATGTACAGTATTGTAAGACAATGACATATATTAAATTTCATTCACAATCCGGCGCCGTTGAAGGCAACCATGTGTTGCAAAGCAGGAACGCTACCGAACACGCTAAATGATTTCGCAGCAAGAACAACCTTCCTTACCAGAGTGAACCAGAGTGCAACTAACAGTGAAGACTATGTTCAATAAAGATTGCATATTGCATACATGATAAACATCAGATGTACACTTCTCTTGTGATTCTATGGGACAACATTTGTAGGTTTTACCACAGGTTTTACCTTGGTGTTACACACTGTTATCATTTTCTAGTTTTGCATCACAAGCTCGCATAATCTAAAAGATCTATTTTAGAGGCAAAGCGTCAGTCGCGCTCAGTAGGGTAGCGGCAAGTGGGAAAACTTTGATAGGTGGATTCATGACAGAGAGAGATCGAATCTCACAGGAGCAAATTTTTCATACTAATTTATTGTAAATTGTGTTCTAATCCTGCCTTTGACGTTCTTGTTGGCTAATCAATTGTTTTAACTATTGTCTTCTTTCTTTCATGATTACCTTGTAAAACCACACTGCTGGCTACAGTTCTCTGGGCACAATAATTCATACATTTTTTATTTTTTGTTTCACATCGGGTGGATTGGGTTTATATGCCCCCTCCCCCTTCTCATACAGTGTTTGTCTCCTCCTCACTATTTCAGTCAGGTGCTCCGGCAGAACTGCCTTCTTATAGAAGAAATCCAGTTTTGGCAATTTTTTCTCTTGCCACTGTATGTGAACATAAATACGCTGGATGAACAGATCTTGGTTGTCACCGAAGTATACCACAAAACCTACCCATGGCAGGCTAGAACAGTAGAGCTGGCCCTGAACTTGATGATAGTATAGGGCTTATTCACCACAGATGGTCACGTGACTCTTCCCCCGGCAGCGAGCATTGTCCGCCATTAGGGGGTGCAGCCTGGTGCCTATCGCTATGGTACGCTATGCAAACTGTTGGCGATAGTTGCGTGTTTTGGGCCACAATCTACGTTTTGAACACTCTTCTTGTTCGTAACATTGTCCTTGGGGTTGTTCTGGCTCCATGACCACGTCTCATGTTCTCAAGATCGGCTTTTATCGGCTTTTTTTTGCTGATCAGAAATCGGTGTGTTTTACCCTGGCGTAGGGGCCTGTAGATGTCAACGAGGGTAGCCATGGCCACGTATCTGTTGGAGCTACCTGTCCTTTTACTCTGTGGTAAATGTCCACGTAGAACAGGGCCCTGGCAACTTGTAACACTCACCTTGTTCAGCCACAGTCGCGGCAGTGCGGACTGTGGATGGCGGCCGGTCGGCGGCCGATGGCCCCGCATTTGTTTGTTATTATCCAGACACAGTCCGGGGCTGTTCCAAAATAGCGACCTTTGCGTATCCCGACAGTCTACAACGTACTTCACCACGAAACTGCACGTCCCACAACACTCTCTACACATCCTGATACAACGATCAAATCAAATCAAACTCTTTCAGAGTCTTAAAGGGTTTGAACCGATCCTGTGTGTAAAAACTTCTGCCCCGTGAGTACCAAATACGAAGCTTAGTCGCGTCAATGGACTCCGCTGGCGGTAGACGCCGTCTCGATCAGACTGATCGCGGGACGGTCGGACGGTAGTACCCTCTAGCATAGTCTTTAATTTCATGTAATGACTTTCAACAGAAAAGCACCGAGAGGAAAAGCTGCTCGGACGGAGAGCGGAACAAGCCAGTCAAACTTCCTCGGGCTGACTTGACGTCACGCACAACTACCACAGCTCCCGTGATCTACAACGATCAAGACTCGTCATCAAACGACAGCAGCAGCTGTGATGATAGCAAGTCTCTGGCACAGGAGGCACTGGACATCATGAAGAATGGTACGCAACTTTTCACAGCATCCACTGCAAGTACTACATGATGTAGCAATATTACTAGTATTCCTTCATGATTGGACAAACAATATTATGTATTTCCTTGGAGATTTTTTCTGTGTCAATGTTCAATATGGTCCAAATGATATATTGTTACTTTACTGCAATGATATTATTATTCCGTGAACAAGGTTGATGGAGTCATCCGAAAATTTGGGGTAAGTCCCATTTCCGTAGTCTAAGTGTTGGAAGTTTAAGCTAGGTCTTCATTTCATAATGACTTGTACCAACACAGATGAACTTTCATGCTACAATGATATTACTTGTTTCCTACCCTACCTTAGAGCCTACTTCTGAGTCCTACTGGCAGGATGTGGCAGAAGAGAGGAGACTGGCACTAGTAGACACACTCAAGGAAAATGAAGAAGTAAGTGTACTCATCTACCTATTGCTACATGTATGTTTGTACTTAGTAAGTATTCCCAGTAGTCATGAATGTAACCTGTTGACAGGTTTGTTGAATAACCTGTTGTACCTGAATGAAAATTGCAGGAAAATCCAAATTGTTCCCCCTTGCAAGACTGTCACTGTTTTTTTACATACTGGAAATGGAACTACACGTACATGTATTTACTAGTGATTCCAAACCTCTGGCTTCAAAAGATACGATTAAGGACGTTTGATGGTCACTTAATGAATGGGTACATTATTTTGAGTACATGTGCAAAAGTTTGTGAAGTCCAGGACAAACTTTAATCGCTTCGGT